ATTGTCCCGAAGCCCAGCCCGAGGGGCGTAAAAAAGTCAGGGCCCGTCGGGCCTGGGCTGAAATGCAGGGCTCTAGCTCTGATCTAGCACACAGAAAACGATTTGACTGAAAATTTATCAGAAGAGATGAAAGAAAGATAGTGGTCATCTGCGCAATTCGGAAAAAGAGGCGGCTTTTCTGCATTAGGTATGTTTTTTTTTTTCTTTTCTTTCTTTTTTTTACTCTTTGTACAGCAGTTATTGTTCATTCTAAATTAATTTTTTAATGTAGAATATGTGTTACATAAATACATGAAATGTAGAACATATAAAAAAGTGCTCGTGACTCGTCTGCCAGTGGGTGCCCCCCCATCACGCATAAAGTGAAACTCCGCCTATGATTGTGCTGTTACTCCTTTCGAGCCGAAGTTCACACAATTGGGTGTTATTTATGGGGAGTAGAATTATTTATTTATTTCAATGAATGTAATCGATTAAATATCATAATATTTAGGCTATAATATTATAAATCAGGTTGGTTTGTATTGCTGACGTAATATGTAAATGATATGCGTGCGGCCCGCGAGACTTGCACTTGGACCATAGTGCGGCCCGGTGGAAAAAAAGGTTGAGAACCACTGGTGTAGACTGAGTTTTGAATAATAATAAAGCATTTTACCAGATGTCTGCAACATAAAATGTGAAAAACTGAATACTTTGTGAATGCACTATACTTGATATATAGTCCGATAACATGATCAGAAAGTGTTGAGTATCAGACTCACTTTGCTTTGGAGCCAGCATCTTCATAGCCTTTGTTAGAGACGTCGTCCAGACCTCCAATCAAGTGTTTGAAGGACCTGCAAACATGAACAGAAAAATTAATCCATGCTTTGAAAATGTCTAATGAAAAATGAATGCAGATGTATGCAATTTTTTATGCTTTATGCTAATGCAGGGGGTCTGCAAACCATCTAAGGTTTATAAAGTTATCTTTTGTTGTATTTTATTTACTTAAATTTGCAATAGAGTGTATTTTTAATAATAATAATAAAAATTAAACTGACTCCTTAATGAAACAAAGTGTGCCATTGTAGGAACCATTTGTATTGAATAATGCCATAAACAGACAATTATCATTTAGGAACAAAGAATCTGACTACAAGCTGTGTAGATCTATGATCTGCACAGGACAGAGTCAATCACAACACAGTGCATCCCAAATGCTTTTCATCCCATTAAACTTCCAGCCGTTCATCTTCATTTGAAGGAAAGACATCTGTGGCTTTCTCTCTCCCATCTGTTAATAAGGCAGAATATGTCTTCACTATATATGTCAGAATATGAGTTCACACATAGAACAGTTTGTTCTGCTTCTAGAATAAGTCAAGGATTTGGCTTGCAGAACTCTGGGACAAGGAAGGGTAAAATAATAAAATGTCTACATGAAAGGCATTTCAATAGTACCACAAATAAATAATGAGGGATATAGTATAAAAATTATATATATATATATATATATATTTATTTATTTATTTTTTGTGAGACTGTCATAAAAATTAGGAAAAATGTTGAGTGTTTCCCAAACTGTGCATATATTGCAGGGGGGATGCCAGCTTTTTAAAACAATAATTATAAAGGCAGCAGTTTGCCAAGGCTGCTGAGCCTAATATTGCATTTTAATTTTTTTTTTAAAGAAAAACCCGACCCGAGACAGACCCGATGAAATTAGACCCGACACGACCCAACGACCAATTTATTTTTTAACCCGACTGGAGCCGAACGTAAACGGCACTGACGTGTGCACAGCCTGCAGCCCCGCAGTCAGTAAAGAAAAATCCCGGTGTCCTGCTGACTGATTTGGCCACTTCTCCCTTACATTTATTTAATTTATTATTACTTAATATCATTACTTACCTGATGGATACAAGTTATTTCTGAGTTCGGCTTTCAATTGTGACCAGTGGTTTGGAAAAATAAACGTGATAGCTCGATAAAAACTAAATTGATAGCCTAATAAATCATAGATTCGCTAGTGTTGGCTGCTCTGCAATGCTATTTACCTCATCTCCGGCGAAAGGATTCTGCACACAAAAAGGAAAGCCCTGCCCTGCATGAACATGCACCGTAATGAAGCGAGTGGCTTTTCCTCATGGATCTCATATCTATAAGATGGATTTCTGTTGGCGAGGTTACAAACGTATGTTCCTTTTCTACATGCGTTTCTCAAAAATGTACTTACGTGCAAGTACGTTAAAGGGATCGGGTCTTATCTGGTCCATTTGGAAAAAGCACATTTATTTTAAATTACCCGAGACCCGAGGCAACTAATACCGAACCCGACCCGTGTCCGAGGCACTCGTCGAAGTTTTGGACTTCTAGTTATGAGTCCAAGTTGAGGTTTAAGTCAATTCTTTACAGGTCTAAGTCAAGTCAAAATTTTTTGCAGCTTAAGTGTGTTTCATGTTTCCATCTCTGTCACCAAACTAAGTATTCATTCATAATTAGCATATCAATAGTTGAGTTGCTTTGAAATTGCAGTGTCCTAATCGGGCCTGATGTGATAAATAACAAGCATTTATCCTAACCTATTTACATTTTCTCATGTTTCATATAGAAATCGGTTGTTATATTCACTCCAGAGTCCATTTTATAAACAAACTGGTTTTGCATGCATTAAGAAAGTAAATAGGGTCACTTTTAATTTCATATTGACATGACATTTAGGATCTCTTGTCTTAAACTCGTCAACATCTAATGTCATGTTGTATTTTGCCAGTGGTTAAATGTCATCCCTTAGCACACTACTTAAAAAGAGCATTTATTTTTTTCCCCTATCCTCTTATTAAATCAGATAAATATTTTATTGCCTATGTTGCTACAAGATATGAGATTTAGACATGAGAGGGAACCAGTAATAGTGTTCATAATTTCAGCTGCTGCGCTTCAGGATGTGACTCATCCACCAGAGAATTCTCACATTATCTCATATTTTTATTAGAACTCTGATGAAACATTGAAACTAAAAGGGGAACAATCAATTGTATGGTTAAGAGCTGAAATGTAGGATTAATTGAAAGCCTTAAATCCTAATGGCATCATTTTGTTGGATGTTACCATGATTTATACAGTCTTTTGAGTCTTGGCAGGTCAGGCAGGACAGCGGTAACCCGAGCCATAATAATGATTTGATGGACATTTAAAGTGTGAATGACTTTATATCACTGCACTTCTGACCCATTTCACAATGTATTCTTAGCACAGTCCCAAGTGAAGCCCCAGAATTAGTAGCAGAAATGTTCTGGGGTGTGAACCCAAAGTCACTCACGTGTACTTACATTTCTGCCATTAAAATACTACTTTGCTGAGATATACACTATTTAAAAGGTCACTCGGTTCTGTAATTTCTGCTGCACTAGCAGAACAAAACGACTGCAAAAATAACGCTTTAATACACAAGTCAATAGGGCCATGACAAATAAGAGAGACTAAAATTTTTTAAATCTAGTTTTAAAATATTAAATTAAACATTTTCTAAAATTTTCTTATATAATTTTTATTATATAAAAATAATTAAATAATTTCCTTATATAATTATATAATTTCCTTATATACATTTTCCTTATATTAAATATGTCAGAGTACACATCATAGTTATTTTCAAGTTTTTAAGTATACATTTTTGTAATACAAATGGTATTTATTTTACAAATATGAATGATTAATTCTTATATATCAAGTGTTTTTTTTAAATGTTTTAACATATATTTTACTGCATATAACAATATTTAAAACAAACTGTTTTACTGTTTTTTTAATAATATAATATAATATAATATAATATAATGCTATCAAATACATATAATATCAAAAATGATCAAAAAATAATTTTAATTAAGAAATTAAAAGCATGAATCACAAAACAGTTGTTTATATGAATGTAATTTTTAATGTGTTTTAAATAAATTATTAGATCCAGAAAAAAATGACCGTAACATTGAGTAACTGTTTGCAAAATGTATCCAGTTACAGTAGCTTGTATATTTCTTTCCACCAATGGAAATCATTCCAAACAATAAAACAGAGTATGTGACTGGAACAGAGTGACAGCATTTCCCTTTTCTGCATTTTTCTTATGAAATCCCTATGGAGAAAATGAAAGGTACAAATACTTCCAAATCCCAACCTGCTAAAAAAGTAAGCATTACTGTTGGGTTCTATTCCTAGAGGAAATCAGCTGCATGAATCAGTGGTTAAAGGGGTCATATGATGCTATTTTAAAGATCATTATTTTGTGTATTTGGTACTGATCACAGGTCAGCTAGCATACAATATAACAACAACAAGAGTCTTTTAATGAGAATTACCATAAACCCCTGACTGATAACAGGACTGAGATAATGGGCGAATTCCTGCAGTGAGAGTGAAAGTCAGTTTGCATGAGGGGTTGCTTATTATATCTATTCCTCAGACCAAAGTAAAATCAAAGTCTCTGGAGTACGATGTCTACAGAGACGAGAGGAGGTCAATGAGTCCCACTGTGCAGCAAGGCATTGTGCTCCTACTGTTTTGTCACACGCTGTGCCACTCAAATGAGGTTTGCTGACAGACTGCTGTCTAAGAATGGCAAACGAGAAGATTTGGCTCCCTGAAGTTAACTGGCGTAAACTAGCATGAACTTGCCACAGTGAAAGTTGTATGAGGTCATTAGAAATTAGTGGCTGTAATTTAGTGAGCACACAGTGGAAAAGATGAAAGACTAATCAGATTTCACAGCATCAGTACACACACACAGACACACAACTCACTCTCTGTCGATGACGAGGCAGGTGACAGCTTCAGCAGCAATGACATTAGCCGTTCTGACGTCTTCTCTGTGGAGACACAAAGAATACATGTCAATCATACACAGCCAAACTTAATTACTCAATACACACACACATTTATATGAGATGGATATTCAACATATAGATATTTTAGTTGAATTTCCAGCAAAAATAACTATTTTGTGACATACTGAGATATAAATTGTTATACTGCCATTATTTAATCAATACGTCTTTTTGCATATACTTTGCATTTTTAAAATGTCATGTAAACACTTTAGCCCGATTGAAATCATACCAGTCAGATTTTTGTGACGTTGGGCTAACAGAACAAATTGAACAGTAGCTCAAAAAATAATGTGTAACAATGTGTGATTTAATCCTTCAAATAATCAGTTACACATTGTGTCATGTATGGCTTGCTGGGACAGATGAAGACTGTAACTCAACTACTAAAAAGACTCATTCGAGCTAGTTAATAATTATGCATGTAAACATACATAATAAGAGGAAAACAACAAAGCATGATCTATTGTACTGTTTCGGAAAAATTTACATCCGTAGTACATAATTTGTCCTAATCAGTGACAAATGGAGTAGTGTGTTAATCATCAGCCATTATTATTGTACAACTTTTTTTTTACCGCATGGCACAACATAAATTCATGTGTGTAGACCAAAATTTTGAATGACAGCTCCAAGCAGCTGCACACTGCCAATTCACAATGACCAGGTGGGAATGCTGATTGCCTTCACACACAAACAGGAAGTGCATTTGCTGATACAACCATGCCATTTTAGCTTGATTCTCTGAGTCTTTGAGCTTGTTTATCGAGTGCCGTGACTTATGTTTAATAAGATTCATACCAGTATGCTCTGCATTACAAGTGCAATGCCGTACCGGGTGTGCTACTGAGCATGTTTACCACATCAGAAAAACCATATATACGGAGTTGGTTTTGTGATGCAAACACCAAAATGTATTAGTTTACACTATGGTAAAAGTGTTTTGAGGTAATAACAGTATTGTGCAAGGAACCTTGTGAAAATAAGTCTTTATTAATCAATAATCTGAGTATAGGTAGGTTTTTGGCAAAAGTGCAGGTAGAGTCACGATTTTTCAATGAGACTGTGTCATGCTTTTTCAACAAACCCAAACTATAGGTATTATACTTTAGGGTGCCATTCATCCTGTTTGTGCTAGGGACATGTTTTGTACCTCAAATCATGTGATTTGTTGAATTCCATAGCAACTGCAACACATGAAAAAACCACTCAGAGCACCTGCAACTGCATAACAATTCCCTGACAACCACCCACAACCCCCTTGCATTGTGCCAGAGAGTTTTAAATAGGCAAACACCACTCAAACAAGGAGCAAAAATCATGCTGCATCTTTACAATTACATTGATTGTTCTTTAAATTACTGACTTGTTCAGCAACTTTACAACACATTACAGGGACATCAACAAAACCAGCTGTAGACAGTAAACCACTTATGTGCATTTACCTTAAAAAGCCTGTAAACTGCCTGCCACATCCACACAGACATGGCGTGTTATGAAAGTACACACATTTAACAATAACATTATTTTTTAGGATGGATTTTCATGTTTTAGGATCAAAACTCTGGGTATGGGGCAATGTATTTGCTTTTATGCATTTGAAAAGTGGCAAAATAAATGACAAAGGTAAAATGTTTCCAAATATTTTCAATGTGACCTTTATATAATACAAGGACAAAAACGGTGATATGCCACCCACATCCTCAACTTTGACATATGGGTCTCCAATTAGCACCACACAGTTGCAAATATTCTTCACTTTCCAGTGGACATGTCTATGTTTAGGGTGTCATTAGTGTTTGCTGTCTTGAGACGCATCTGCATCTGCTGGAATTCAACTGCCTCAAACTGGCTATCATTAGATATGACATGTTTCCTGGTACAACTGTGAAAAAGATAACTCCCATTGAGATAGAACATATCAGAGATGCCGCAGCTCTTGCGAATAAGGTCCAATTATAAAACCTAAAGTGATTATTACATCAGTCCTGTGCTATTCACATCACAGCTACACTTATCACATCAATCACACATGAAGATTAAAACTGACACTGAGAAAGTCCAGCACAGGGAAACATCCTTCAATTAGCATGGCACACTTCAGAGGCAGAGGGATGTCTCTGAATGCTGTGACAGCATTAGGTGAGGATGGAGGCAAAGAAAGACAGAGGGGGGTTAAGACCAGCCAGTACAAACATGTTTCAGCGGTCAGTTAAAGTCTGGATGTAGTGAGCGCACATCACAGCAAGTATGGAGTGAGGCTTATGAAGGAAAGGTCAGAGCCGTCAATCAAGCTGGTAGAATAACAGGATAAAGTGACACAACGTGAGCTACTCCATGAAAATGGAACCAAGGTTAAAGTGGAGCATGAGAGGTCTTTAGTGTAGCACTGTAATTGTAGGTTAGCACACTCAAAAATAAATGTATGATAGCCCTTATTCATTGTATGTTTTCATATATGTAAACAAACAATGTGAATATGATCAGTTTGGGTTCAAAGCAAAAAAATAACAATACAGGGTTTGAAACAACAAGAGGGTAAAAAAAATTAGAAGTTTTATTTTTGGGTGAACTAAAGCATTATGTGGTAATTAACATTAAAGTATAGCTGAGATTTATCTGACAAGGAAATAGCACTGATATAGCAATGCTCTGAATTTTCTGGGAAATTTATATTTACATACATGTCATTTCAGATGCATTCTTACCAAAAGAACTTCCAATAAAGAAACTTAGTATTGTGTACTGTCAGTGAAAATGAATTGTAGCAAGAGTTTGAACAAGATAACTAATATAATCACAAACATGCAGCACTACAAGTCAAATATACACAAAAAGTGTAGTTTAAATGTCAATGCTATTCTTTAAATAGAATAAATAACAGGTAAGGAACCATATACGGTAAATATCATGAAACAATTTAAAGCCCTCGTTCCCAGTTCTTATTAACATTGAACAATGGGATAAAATATTATTTAATAAGTACAAATTTATTTATACATGGTTATATGTTGTCCTATTACATAACATTTTCAATAAACTATAAGATTTCTACTGTAATTAAAGTAATGAAAATCGAATTACAATAGAATAATATTGAAAAATTTATTTGGTAATTTGGGATGATGAAATGTGCTTGATTGTAATGAAAATAATGTCACATTGCAAAAAAAATAAATAATAATAATTGAGTTTGACATGATTTTGGTAATGTGACTCGGACATGTTTTCATTAGAATTATCCATACAGTGGCCCTTGATCTGAGTGTGTTTGTATACTTCTCTTCTGGTGTGTAAACTTCAAAAGAAGATAATTATTCTAAGATCTGGTCAACATCTCCTTAACTGGCAGCAAATTAATTGTTTTGGCTCAACAAGGTGTTTTGCTTAAGAGGTACATGAAAGTTTACTTAGCATACAGGCTGTTGCACATCAAAGCAGTGGGCAGCCTTTAATCCAGAAGACCACAGCTATTGTTATGCCTGTTACTTAGTCAAATCCCAGGCAACTCCCATATCATACAAACAAGACTCAGAACGGCGTAAAAATAATGTTTAAGATGAAAGACTGACTTGATCCACTTCAATAGAGTGCTGATTGATTTGCTAAACATACTACCACTCAAAAAAGAGAGAAACTAAACAAACAACAACCAAAACAAAAACGCAAGATTGTGTACTAATTAAAGCTGAAAGTGAGAGGTGAGATCAAAAGACGTGAAGATCAAGAACACACATTTGAAGGAGTGACACCTCTTCAGGCGAATACACTACACACCATATTGCAACTCATCAGCTTGGTCGTCCTTCGGCTCAGATCAAAGCAAGAGCCATCTAACTAGGTGGCTTTGTGAATAGAAACAAAGTAACAATTGATCAATAGATCACATAATATATAACTATAAATATACAGCTGATAGACACATTTGTAACAAACAATTATAATAAAATGCACTTGCAATGACAATACCTTGCCCTCAAAATATTTATGTGGTAAAAATAGATTGTGCTTAAATGTAATAGTTACTACATTTAACGTAGCTAATAAAACTGTTAATTAGGTACTATCCATCAATGCAATCAAAAACAGAATTAAATCATTCATTTAACATTAACATTGCTAATGCATTAATCGTGAATTAATAGTTTATTATTTTTGAGTAAACTTTTTAAATTTAAAAATTGTAAAATTTTAAATGTGTAAGTGTATTAAAAATCAACTTTATCCAAGATTATTAAATGCAGTAGAAGTACTGTTTATTGTCAGCTTGTGATATCTAATGCATTAACAAATGTTAACACATGTTTGGTTATTGTAAAATGTCACCAATTAAAATATGGTGCATCCAATCAGACTTCAAGGTATTTTGGTGCAAGTTCAGCTAGTCAAATATGTTGTTTGTGACCAAAATAGTATTTTGATGTCAATTACTGAAAAACTGAAATTCAAGAGACATTTAGAACCAAAACACTCAAGCTAAAACTTAAACTATACAACAACAAAGTCTAGATTAGTTTCTCAGCACTGTCTTCACTTTTGATACAATCAGAAAACCCAGAAACAATTTCATTTTACTCTCTTGTGCCTCACAGGTTGGCATAGTGTACCGTAGTGAACCAGAGGCACTTCTGTTTGAGACTTCTTGAATGCTAGGGTTCAAAAGGGATGAAAGTATGTCCTCCTTGATTCATGATTTCATCATGAGCTTTCGTCCCATGAGTCCTGTGGCCAAAACATATCCTCCTACTCTCTCATTCAAGCTAATCCTAGCAAATATTAATTTTCTCAGCACGGACCTTTTATTTTGTGTGAAATGTGCAGGCTCTTTATTTCGGTCCATTAGCAGCTTGCCCCTCTTTTCAGGGTCAATGACAAGCTCAATATCACAACACAGCTGTGCAACACCAGTCAAGTGCATTGACGCGAGCTTGTTAAATGAAAAAAAAAATTGTAGAAACCCTTTATTGTGTTTATTACTACTCATTAGGGTAATTGCCCAAAAATAACAATACAATGGATTGTTGTTTGTCACAACCACCACCATTAATGAACTAACACTTCCTCTGATCTCCACTAGGAGTCCCCAATGCATTCGTTCTGTCTGTATCCCTTGCAACAGCTGTTCAAAAAGTTTCAAAACTAAAACCATGTGGAAAACATTTTTACATTTGTAAAAATTGTAAACACAAATCGAAAGCCGTAAGGGAAGCTTGAGTGAAGGTTGCCTGCATTTGGCCTCTATTGAATCAGCAGCAGAGGGATTGTGCAGGAATATGGAAATAGAGCAGAGGATAATGTTCATAACCCTGTGAGAAATATAAGGTGGAGGGGATTGGATGTGCATCTGACTGTTCTCACACAACCGGTCTCATCTTCTCTTCAAATTAGCTCTACTCAAGAAGTGCTGTGTGCTCCCAGTCCATTAGATGGTACCCTTGCAAATAAAGCCTCAAACATGACAGGCATTTTTCATATAAGCCCATTTCAAATCAGGTTAAAAGCCAAATGAAATGCAGTTCACAGCTCACTTCCATAATGTGAAATATTTCAGAGTGAGGCAGAAGAAAAAATGTAGAGGAAGACTTCACAAATAAGAGAGATCGGTAATATCAGCCGGAAAAGAAAGTTGTTTCGGAGGTGGAGTAAGTTATTGCATTTTGATGAAAGGTTATGATTTATTTCTCATACATCCAGAATATGTATTTAGAAAGCAAACAAGGTCAATTTTAATTCTGTGTGCTGTGATTACAGCGCTATAAGTAGTGAGCAAAAAGTTCTTACCCTTGAAGGGCTTTTTCTCCAAACCAGTCTCCTTTACCTAATGCCCGCAGATAGACAGGGGTCCCATTGGGTGGATCTTCTCGAGTAACGTTCACCTGCAATTACAGATTATTGGTCATGAAAAGCTGGAAGACTGAATAATCCACTGATTTGTTCTTAAAATATCAATTATTTAGCATTTACATTAGTTATAGGTTGGTATTTATCACTCTAATTATACTAAATGGTAGAGCGACAATAGAGAGAGTGTATTTGAACGAAGGGTCTTGAAAATGTGTTCAGATTAATGGACAGTTCACACAAAAATGAACATTTTGAAGGAAGAATTTTGAAGAATGTTGCTATTCTGTGTCAGCTGCGTCACACGGATATGTTGTTTTCATTCAAATCAAAGCGCAAACAACGTAGGAAACAGATCCGGCATGACGCAGCTGACACAGAATAGCATACAGCGGATATTCTCCAAAATGGCACCAGGGTGATACGGAGGAGACGAATTGTTGAATAAAGTCGTTATTTTTTTTTCTTTTGCGCACAAAAAGTATTCTCGTAGCTTCGTATAATTGCGGATGAACCACTGATGTCACATGGATTATTTTACAGATCTCCTTGCTACGTTTCTGGACTTGGGAACATTTCAGTTGCGTTGCTGTCTATGCAGGGTCAGACAGCTCTCAGATTCCATCAAAAATATCTTAATTTGTGTTCCGAAGATGAACGAAGGTCTTACGGGTTTGAAACGGCATGAGGGTGAGTAATTAATGACAGAATTTTCATTTTTGGGTGAACTAGCCCTTTAATAAGGGCTTATTTTTCTTAATTCTTAGGGAATAATGACTTAAATTTCACAAAGTTCTTCATACAAAGATATTGTATAACTTGTAAAGATTTGGAGTATAGCATACAACTCATATGTACTTCTTTTATGATACTTTTTATGTTTTTCTTCAAATGTTGTTCATGCACGCAACCTTTGTGGTATTCGGTCTCTGTGGTGGAAAAGATCTTACCTTTCCCTTGCCAATGATAAAGAACGTGTCCCCTCTGGCACCTTGTCTAATAATGTACTCTCCATCACTGTAGTGAGTCTGAGAAACGAGATAAAGAAAGAGAGGCAAAGAGAGAGTATTACTGAAGTGTAATTTTTTTCCTTCTAGTTCAATTTTCACAGTGTTGCTCCATCACAATCATTCTCAAGCCATCACGAAGACAGTGCCTCAGTCATGCAACAGGCCACTTCAAGGCTGCAACACCAAAACAAGAACAGAAGTCCTCATAGCAGTAATCCATGTTACCGGAAAACCACAACAGCACCCGATGCAAATGTAACTCTGAGAAACTTCGGCTGAAACCTCAATGTTTAGACTATAGTCATTTTAAGGCCTGAAACAAACCCTACACAAGTGCAGATGCAGATTCCTGATTTCACACACCATTATATGGTGTTTACTAAGGCAAAAATCACTATTATTATACTCAAGGATCTGATCAAACCCTTTACCTTAAATACTGGTGTGCAATTTGTCCAGCTTTGTACTACAGTTATACCTCAAATTGGGTGGCTTGTTGAGGAGAGGTGTGTTGTTACTAGGGATGCACTGATACCGATACTGGTATTGGTATCGGGCCCGATACTGAGCTCCTGTGCTGGAACTCATGCTGTGTGGTATCGGGGAATTTTAACGAGTACGTGTTAAGTGACATATTCAGACAATGAAACACCGACAACAGACAGCAGAATGGAGTTATTAGAGATTAAGGATGTCTACGAAGTATATGTATGCAATGAATATAATGTTAAACAATCAGTATTGACTGTATAGCTGATGTGCGCGAGCTGATAAGCAAAGCACGCTGAGTGGATTGAGTGCGTGGCGGCGCAGATGCACAAGCTTGTCGAGTGAATATACCTTTCTCACAGACATCACTGGAAAGTTTGAACTAGTGGGTGCAGGACACTATAGTTCATTTATGTAAGTGATAGCAAAATAAAGTAAACTGTGACAAATTGTACCCACAATTTCATCATACAGTGGACTACGAGTAAAACTGATACAAATTTGGGACCAAAAATTATTCAGACCAAGCCTGGGAAAAAAAAAATTAAGTTCAGGTTTGCATGAACCTGGAGACTACAGGCTGTCATTAAGGCTAAGGGTTGCCCGACTAAGTTTACTTTTTTAAGCACTTGGACTTCAAAGGATATTATAAAGGCTTGGGGATGCAATCTGTTGACTTTGGTCAATAAATAACCACCTAGGATCACCTAGAACACCATAGGAACTGCATAGCAATGTGATGAAACATCTCAAAACACCATAGCAACCGCATAGCAATGCGCTGGCAACCACCATGGCAATTTTTCAAGCACCACTAACATTGTCTTCAGCAAATATAAAATATTTTTGTTCCAAAATGTGTTACGTGCAATTCAAAACATCTCAAGACCAGCTTCTTTTACAGTCAGTTTTCTTTGGTCAAGTACTTTAATTGCAGAGCAACAGCTTGAAAAGCATTTTGTACATAAATCTCACTGATTATTACAACTAATGGCAAAAAGAATGTTTGGAAATGCAAACTACTGGCACTCAAATGCAAAAGATATAAATAACTCTTAATTTATTCTTCTTCATTAAATTAATTGATTTTATACTTAGTGTTAATGTTAATTTCAACCTTTACTAATTTTAAAAATCAAGTTTTATCGGTGAACATTAATGCACTGTGAACTAACATAACATGAACACTGAACAATTGTATTTTTTTAAACTAACATTAACATAATAAATGATAATAGATAATAAATGCTGCAAGAAATGTATTGCTGATTTTTAGTTCATATTAGTTAATGCATTAACTAATGCTGGCAAATGAGACCTTATTGTAAAGTATTACCAATAATAATAATAATACATTTGTTACATTGAATTCTAAAGCTCAGCACAGTAACCACAAAGTGCATTAAGTATACAAGAGTAGTCTAACTTTTTTTTTTTTTTTACCTTGCTTTATTTGATTTACTACGTTTGATTGATTTAATGAAAAAAATAATAAACATTATTTATTGCACATGACAAGAGCATGTTTCTACAACCATGATGCAATGGGATTGTCATGATATATGACTTTTCTTTGCATCTGCTGTTCCTGACAGCAGCCTTTGTAACTGAACTATTTCTCCTCTACAGAGCTCATCTTAAACCCAATGACCTGGACATCAAGACCTAACACATTTCTCATAATTTCAAAGATCAAGCCCAGTTCCTAAAGCCCAGAAACCCTGAAAGATTTGATTTGAAATATGGGGGTTCACATTAGTTCTTCAGTTTATAGCAGTAAAATGAATGGGCTGCTCCTGCAGCATTGTGCAGTTCATAGGGCTATTGCTGAGCTCACCTTGAGGAAGTAATAATGTTGAGGTTCAGGATTTAATTTGACTCTCTTTTGTACTGTTAGTATATATTATTAAATACCACCTCTACATCTCTTAACAGCATCTGTGGCTTGCTGAAAATAATTCTGACTCATCCAGCATTTTTAAGCACAAATGAAAAACACATTTGTAGTAATGTGCATACAATAGAAGTTCACAGTGCAAGGTATTCCAGAGGGTTTAAAGTCAGAAATGTGAAATTCTTGCATAAAGGCTTGAGTAAACCTTATTTATTTTTATTTTTTTTGTAAACTGAATATAATTTGTTAGTAGTGAAAAGCTTATTTGCAGAATTTCACAATTCCTATATTCCTGTCTGTGGAGTTTTACTAAAATATACCAATGAAGAATAGCATACTACCATACTATTTTTGCTGCAGTATACACTGTGCACAAAATGCAAATGTTCTGTATGCATAAAATTTCTGGAAGAATTTCTAAAATATACAGTATATAACAGTATTGACTGTGTGGAAAACCTTATAATGCACTCAACGTGACCTACTTTGTGCAAAGGATAAAAGGGAAGTAATATCAGCTGCAATTTTTAGCATCTTGTTCTTGACATTATCTGACTGTACTGCCAAACATTCAAACATTTTAACCCTTGTGCTCTGCGGAAAATCCTTTACCTAATTTGGTGATCCTGGTCAAAAATGACTGTCCTTTAAAAATTGGATTGTGCATCTCTTATTATGCTATATTATCACCAAATCTTGCATTTAATCTTTTTGGTAACTTGTTTTCTTTCGATTAGCATGGGTTTTGCATTTCTTTTTGAAACTGATTGGCTGTAAGGCCTTTGACCTGACTTTATGCACCTCGTTTTTGAGTAAAATATGCATCATTTTGACAATGTTCACTCATGTGTTGCATAAACTCATATCAATGAGACCTATCAGTCAGTTCCAAAAAGAAATACAAAACCTGTGCTCATGGAAAGAAAACATGTTGATAAAGCAATATTTGTAGGCCAGTCATTCTTGACTGGGAACACCACACATGTAACATGGTGGGGGAAAATTCCTAAAAAGTACAAAAATAGGAAAGTTGTTATACCCTGTGTGAGCAAAGTCTGTAACTCATTTCAACTGCGATAATATTAATAGTATTAATATTAGTGCTGGGCGGTATGACCAAAAATTTATATCACTGTATTTTTCTCAATTATACCGGTTTCACGGTACATGACGGTATTTTTTTTTTTCATGCATGACCGGGTGTTAACCATATTTTGTACTGATTGAGAGAGCAAATACTGCAGTATATTGACTTAGAATGCCCTATTTTACTGTCATGATGAGTGAATATTGTCAAAAAATACCACACTAAATAGTGACTAAACACGACCCCTTTTAATATATGTTAACCAGGAGTCACTCTCATTTATAATCGCGGCATCGTCTGATAAAATCAACATGCATCTACACTAAAGAGCAGCTATACGGTTGTTTTGGCTATATTACTTTTTTGTCTCATGCAGCACACTGCCTGCGTCTGAGTAACAAACTAAAAAAAACAACAAACAAAAAAGTGCATGTGATATTAACAGACGAACTACGCTCATATTTATAATTCCAAACAATCAGTAAGCGACAGGTGCTAGGAAACGCTGTTTTGTACTCATTTATTGAGGAGTCGGCTGCGGTGCTTCTCTGCCGCTCACTGCACAGAACAGACGCCGAGAGAGGTGACACTTCTCCGGGAAAGTCAGACCTCGCGTTCGCGGGACAGCACTGGCGAAATCTTCCAACTGAACCATAGCTAAGGTTTATCCAAAAAAGTCGCTAGGTTTGTCAGTATGAATATTCTATGGAAAAAAGCCGCTAAAAGGGTCTGAAGTTGCTAAATCTAGTGCTAAAGTCGCGCTCGTGTGTGTGAGACGCGGGAGCTGATGGCAGGGGGCGGTGGATATTTGTGGCGGTCAATGTGGATATTGTGGATGAGTTCTTCTGTGTCATCACGTTCTATTAGTTGTACAGCTTCAGTTTCGGAACTTTCACGCTTAGTAACACATACAGCTGTTCCCTCACCACAGTGCAACAGTGAAAACGGACCCATTTCAAACAGTATCGCGTTCCGAACGTTGTTTAAGCGACATACACCGGTATTGCGGTATTTTAAAAATATATATCATAACAAAAATAAACACCGGTATTCGGTATGAACCGGTATACCGCCCAGCACTAATTAATATTAGCATATTATTATTAGCACATAATATTACTAGCATTAAGTATATAACTTTAACTGCAACCCTTCTCTAGAAACCCCCCTCTTTCCACTTACATTCTTACATTCTTTTATTCCTACCATACATTCCTACCTCAAACATCTAATGGAAAAATCTGACTTTTTGACCCATGTTGCTCCAAGTAGAACAGTGCAGTGTGGGAATGCCAACTCCAGTACTTCACAAGTACGCCTGGGATAAAACCCAGACATAGCTAACTGCTGTAGACACAGGATAACAGAGAGCAATATTGACTTCCGCGTTTTAAGCGGCCTTGGTTTCAGGTGTGTTTTTTTCCCATTTTCTTTCTTCATAAGCTTTTCAAAAAATATTCAGCATAAGAGTTCTAATACACAAACCAAACGGACCAGATTTTAAACAAAAAATCTGAAAAAAAAAACACAAGGCTATGTAATTAATGT